GTGGTGCTTGGGCATCTTGTACCATTGGGCCACAAATCCCATTAGAGCAAAGATCAGGGTTGTCCTCTGATCTATTACCGACACATGTATCACGGATACATGATACATAATGAATGAATGAATGAATTCATATAAACCTTTCTTTAATTATTTCATTCTTTCATGTACTGAGCAAGCACTCTGTGCCAGACACTGAGATTAAAATATAATCCCAGTCTTCAAGGAGATTATAGCCTGGAGACAGAGACAGACATGAATCTGGGCAACTAGAATTTCCAGCTTCCCCTAGTTAGTGGTTAACTAACTTCATTTAGTCAGCAAAATCACACCAGTCACATAGTAAGGATACATACTGGCTGGACACGACAACATCCTTCTGAAATTCAACCACCTCTTACCTTGGCAGTGAACTTGACTCCCACCCTCTTTCCCAGGGTTGTGGGGCAGGGGAGGTTCCAGTTCAGATGCCCTTAGTCTCCTATTACTCTGAAGCTCCAGATTACGCTCTACGTCCCATATCTCCTGTGGAACCAGGCCACCTTGCCGAGGTCACTTTTGACCCAAAGCCCTTTGGCTGTGCGTCAGGGTCTCTGTGAATGATTTTTCCCTCAGGAGGGGAGATGTGAAAATAGCCCATTAATAAATAACACTTTGTCCTGAAGGACTTTTGGACGTATGCTGTTATTGATGTTTTGTTTGTTTTGATTTTGCTTTAGAGTATAGATTTGATGTTCCACCTCCCCATCTTGCTTTCATCTTTATTCTTAATGATCACATTTTATTCCACTTATAGGAGTAATCAAAGAGGTAAAACCCTCTGCCTGTGGGGGAGAACAGCACAGATAAGAAGCCCAGAAATAGGAACTGTTTTCTGATGAGAAAATGTCCAATTTTATAGGAGATTAGCTTTGAGTATTGGAGGGAGGGTTATCATTATGGCCTGAAGCAACTATACGTAGCTCTAGAGTTCTGATGGCCAAGAAAGGTGGAATAAATGTTTGGGAAGTGTTTTAATATTTTGATCTCTGAAAAAGGCTAGAGCGTGAAATAAGTAAACGAAAAGACTTTAACGCTTTTGGACTCTTGGAGCAAAAAAAAAAAAAAAACCCACAAAAAATTAACCTTTATAATTTCATGGTATTGAAATTTTACTAGAATTAAATTGTTTTAAATCACACAATTGCTCCAGCTCCAGCTGTGTGCGCTGGTGTGAATCAAATACTGTCTGTCATTTAGATTACACTTCTCCCCTCCGTAGCCCCCCAGCAAGGGTCCCAATGACTACAATTAAAACCACTGCACTACATGGTTTCGCAAGGGAATTCTAACAAACCTTTAAAGAGAAGATAATCCCAGGGCTGTTTAAACATGCTATATAGAAAAAAGAGGAACTTTTCCAAAATCTTTTAGAAATATGAGCGCAAGACTGATACCAATCCAGTAAAGACTTCATTAAATATAAAAACATAGGTGCAGGTCATTAATTACTATTAATGCAAAAAGTTCAATTACAATATTAATAAAAGGAATATAGCATAGTAAAATTAATATATCATATGGAGTTTGTTCCAGGAATTCAAGGGTGGTTCAACATATAGACCTCTACTACCAAAACCCAGAACATCCTCTTCTGGTAGTAGTGGACTAGATAATTTAGAAGAATACTTTCCACAAAGAAAAATCTTTAAGTTAGACAAAGTATAACAAAAATATTTTAGTAAGAGTTAATAAGATAGGGATCAATTACCGAATGAGGTTCTGGGAGAGGTTGGGAAAGTGGGTTGGTGAGCAGAGCACTTGGGGTCACTTTTTCCAGAAAATGTGCTGAGAGTCTAAGATGTACTTTGTGCAGTCCCATAGGGATGGGGGACAAAAGATGGAATCCACCTAGAGTAGGGACTGTGGTTCCATCCCATAGTATTTAATTCAGATAGAATCTAGAAGCAGTGGGGGAATAGATTGATTTCTCAGTATATAGTATTGGAACAACTGGGTAGCCACTTGAAAAACAAAGTTGGATTCAGACTTCACACTACATATGAGGATAAATTCCAATTGAATCAAAGTTCGAAATGGAAGAAAAATGAAATCATGAAAATAATAGAAGAAAATATGAGAGGATTCTAACTCCAAAGGGAGTAAGGCCTTTCTCATTATATCACAAAATCCAAAAGCCACTAAAAATAAATTGATACATTTGGCTACATAAAAAATTTTGCAATGCAAAATATAAACAAAGACAAATGATAAACTTGGAAAAATATGTTCAACTCAAATCACAGGCAAAGAGTTAATTTCCATAATATATACAGAGGAAAAGATTACTAGCCCAAGAGAAAAGTGGGCAAAAGATGGTCCACAGATGGTTCACAAAAAAGAAAAGAGAAATGACTCTTATTATAAAAAGATGCTCAACCCTAGTCATATGAGAAATGCAAATTAAAACCACATTGAGGTATCATTTTTCACCCATTATACTGGTAAAATCCAAAAATTTGAAATCAGACTGAATGGGTCAGAAAACAAGCATTCTCACACGTTACCAGTAAGAGGGTAAAATGACACCCCCTATCAAGGGCAATTTGTCAGTATTTATCAAAATTACAAATGTTTATACTCTGATCTAGCAGTCCCAGAATTTTTTCCTGCAGATAGCCTTACACATGTGCAAAATGATATTCATAATTACGTAATGGCAAAAGAATGGAAACAGCTAAATGTTCAACAATAAAGGATTGGTTAAATAAATTATGGTCCCTCCATATGTTGGAATATTATACAGCTGTAAAAAGAGAGTAAGGAAATTCCTTATGTATTTTATGGAAAGTTCAGCAAGGTACGTTCTAACAAAAAAAGGCAAAGTCCGGAGCAGTGTGCTACCATTTGGGTAAAAAAAGAAAGAGAGAAAAATAACGTATACCCATAGTAGTTGGTATACACATAATTTTTCTAGAAGGATAAACAAAAAACTAAAATCAAGAGTCACCTATTAAGGGACATGGGTACTGAGTGGATGGGAAAAGGGTAGGAGGGAGACTTTTTGCTACCTGTGTTTTGTTTTATTGGATGTTTGAACAATGTGGATGCCTTATTTATTTATACCTCTGAGGTGTAACGTTCAGTGTCATGGCCAACCTCCTAACCCACTATTAAAGTAGCAGATGGACTCTATTTCCCAGCAACCAGAAGAGATTGCCCTGAGATGAACTCTCTTCTGGCCAAAGGCACTGATTTCTAATCACCAGCTGGGCTTGGAATGCAGCTGACGTGGTTTATGAGACAGAATGGAGCTAACAGGCCCCTACTTCAATTTTACCTCTAACTTTGACGTAAGAAACAATTTTTTAATCGTGGTAAAATATACATAATATAGAAGTAACCATTTTAACCATTTTTTATTGAAGTATAATTGATTTACAATGTTGTGTTAATTACTGCTGTACAGCAAAGTGATTCAGTTATACATATATATACATTCTTTTTTAAAATATTCTTTTCCATTATGGTTTATCATAGGATATTGAATATAATTCTCTGTGCTATACAGTAGGACCTTGCTGTTTATCCATTCTATATATAAAAGCTTACATCTGCTAATCCCAACCTCCCACACCAGCCCTCCCTTAACCCCTCCCCCTTGGCAACCACCAGACTGTTCTCTATGTCTGTGAGTCTGTTCCTGTTTCACAGATAGGTTCGTTTGTGTCCTATTTTATTTTCTTTTATTAAAATTTTTTTAAAAATTTATTTATTTATTTTTGGCTGCATTGGGTCTCCACTGCTGTGCGTGGGCTTTCTCTAGTTGTGGCGAGTGGGGGCTCCTCTTGTTGCGGAGCACAGGCTCTAGGCGTGTGGGCTTCAGTAGTTGTGGCACATGGGCACAGTAGTTGTGGCACACAGGCTTAATTGTTCCATGGCATGTGGGATCTTCCCAGACCAGGGATTGAACCCACGTCCCCTGCATTGGCAGGTGGATTCTTAACCACTGCACCACCACCAGGGAAGTCCCCTGTGTCATATTTTAGATTCCACATATAAGTGATATCATATGGTATTTGTCTTTCTCTTTTTGACTTACTTCACTTAGTATAATAATCTCTAGTTGCAACCATGTTGCTGCAAATGGCATTATTTCATTCTTTTTTATGGCTGAGTAGTATTCCATTTTATGTAGGTACCACACCTTCTTTATCCATTCATCTGTCAATGGGCATTTAGGTTGTTTCCATGTCTTGGCTATTGTGAATAGTGCTGCTGTGAACATAGGGGTGTATGTATCTTTTTTGAATTATAGTTTTGTCAGCATTTTAACCACTTTTAAGTGTACAATTCAGTGGCATTAAATACATTCACAATGTTGTGCAGCCATCTCCACCATCCATCTCCAGAAAATTTTCATCATCCCAGATAGAAAGTCTGTACCCATTAAACAACAATTCCCCATCCCTCCTTCTCCCCAGCCCTTGGTAACTACTGTTCTACTTTTTGTCTCTATGAATTTGCCTATTCTCATATAAGTGGAATCATACAATATTTGTTCTTTTGTGCCTGGCTTATTTCATTTAGCATAATATATTTTTTATAAATTTATTTATTCATTTATTTTAATTTTTGGCTGCATTGGGTCTTTGCTGCTGCACGCGGGTTTTCTCTAGTTGCAGAGAGTGGGGGCTACTCTCTGTTGTGATACATGGGCTTCTCATTGTGGTGGATTCTTTTGTTGCAGAGCACGGGCTCTAGGTGCATGGGCTTCAGTAGTTGTGGTTTGCGGGCTTCAGTAGTTGTGGCTCGCGGGCTCTAGAGCGCAGGCTCAGTAGTTGTGGTGCATGGGCTTAGTTGCTCCGTGGCACGTGGGATCTTCCCGGACCAGGGCTTGAACCCGTGTCCCCTGAATTGGCAGGCGGATTCTTAACAACTGCGCCACCAGGGAAGCCCCATTTAGCATAATATTTTGAAGGTTCATCCATGTTGTAGCATGCACCAGAATTTCATTCCTTTTTTATGACTGAGTAATATTCCATTGTATAGATATACCACATTTTAGTTCTTCATTCATCAGTTGATGGATATTTGATTTCTTTCCACTTTGCGGCCATTGTGGATAACGCTGCTACGAACGTCAGTGTCCAAGTATCTGTTTGAGTCCTTGCTTTCAGTTCTTTGGGGAACATATACCTGGGAGTGAAATTGCCCTTATTTTGGCTTTTAACCAAATGAGCTAACCAGAGCAACCCTCCTCAAAGATTGTGAAGACTCTTGACTGCAAGGAAAATCAGGAAGAAAGTTAAAATACAAACCATTAAACAATGTAAAACAGCCAAGCACCGTCTACACATAAATGCATCACAACCAAAATGAACGTGAGGCAACTGAATGCCACGGGCTTTGATGTCGTCGACTTTTTCCCACAGGTGATCCACAGCTGTGCTGGTATCTCAGGTTTGTCTTCATCCCAGGGCCGGAAGGATTTCAAAGGATGCCTGGCACTCCCCCTATAGGAAGCACAGATGGATCTGCAGTTTCTACCTACTCACAGGTAAATTGGAACCTGAGCTGTGCCTCATGGGATTTTTGGCACTCAGCAAAGCTGCCCTGTGGTGGCACTAATGTATCATTTGCTTTTTGAACTCTGAAAAAGGCCGCTGGCAAGCTTAATGATTTGCTGGTGGCGTTCTGACCTCCTCTGAGAGGGCTTCTGGGCAGGGGCATCCTAAACGGCATTAAACCTGAGGCAAGGTATCACCAAATTTGTGAAATAAGCACCCTGCCCTTCTCACTTCTCTGGCATCAGTTTTTACTCATCCCGAACAGTGGGTGAGTGGCTATTGGCAAGGCTGCTTCCTCTATGTAAAACTTCTCAAAACCCTCCTACAGTGGGTCACTTGTGAAGTCCCACAGTTGACCACGGAGAAGCGCCTGTTAGGTACATAGCCGCCCCACATTCACCCTGTGTGCAGTTCTCACTGTGGCTTGCTGCCAGGCAGATGGCAGAAGAGGCTCACCCTTAACTCCAAGAAGATAAGGGAGGGATCATGTACGCAAAAACAGCTTCCTCTGCCTTGAGGAGTTGAAAGAATGACACAATGAACTCTTGGAATCGGGAGAGCTCTTTTTTGAGTACGCTTAGTTCAACACAGAGCAGATATTTTTGTTTGCCACCCCCTCTTCTGTCCACACCACCCTAATTTCTCATGGGGGAATTAACCCTTCCCTGGTTCGCAGCCATGTGGTACTTTTTGTTTTTTGGTTTTTTATAGCCGTGCCACGTGGCTTGCGGGAGATCCCCGAGCAGGAATCAAACCCATGCCCCCTGCAGTGGAAGCACGGAGTCCTAACCACTGGACCACCAGGGAATTCCCTCAGCCACGTGGTTTAGATATACCTAACCCTGCCCCACAGTTCCAGGGATGGATTCTGATTAGCTTAAGACAGAGTGTCCCAGCCCTTGGATGCAGTGATTAGTTTAAAATGAGCAGTTAACCCAAGCCAGTAAGATGCAAGGAAATGTTTGCTGGTGTTTCTGGGAAGGAGAAGCCCCCTTTTGGGGCAGAAGTATGCAAATAAGGAAGGATGTAACCTCAGGAGTGCCTGGCAGCCATTCTGCTACCATGAGGGAGAGCATGCCTGAGATTAAAACTGAGGACGTTGAGAAACCAACAGAGAGAAATTGGGCACACTGTTTGAACCTATATCAAGCCCCACCTGAAGTTAACCCCATCTCTGAACCATTCAGTTATGTGAGCCAATAAATGACCTTTATTTTTTTAAGCCAATTTGAGTTGGAGTTTCTATTACTTGCAGCATAAAGTTGTCCAGCTAATTCAAGGCTTCATAATCAATGCTACAAGAAATCTAGATCTTCCAGTGAGAGAAAATTGTTAGTTGTTTCCGTGATGTGTTACTGGAAGTTCAGCAGAGGATAAGGGCAGGAGGATGGAAAGCATGTGAAGAGAAAGTTTGGTGTCTGGCCCAAAGAAGTGAGAGTCCCGACTGAAGACTACTTATTCAGGAGGGGAGTTGCTATGCCCCAGGTGATGGCATGAGAACCATTCTTGTATAAATTGAAGAAAGAAGACAAGTTTGTCTTGGTCTGATCTCCCCCTACTATTCTCATTTCCTCTATAAAATGAGGATGTTGGATTTGGTGAGCTCCAGCATTCTTAAAGAGCACAGGCTTCCGAACCTCACATACCTGAGATCGGATCCTAACATCAGCTGAACAACCTCAGTCAAGTTACTTAACCTCTCTGAGCCTCATTTTCCTCAGCTACAAAATATGGGTATCGATTATACCTTCCACACAGTGATTTTTGTGACGACCTAATGAAATACCACGTATGAAGGTGCTAGCACAGTGCCTGGCATATGGTAAATATCCTATAAATATCAGCTCTCCCTCCCCCACCCCACTGCCATCTCTGTAAGTATAGAACAAAGGGTGGGCAACCTCTTGCTGACGGGGCCAAGTCTGGCTCCTGCTTTTGTAAATAAAGCTTTATTGGAACACAACTGTGCTCATTCATTTACACATTGTCTATGGCTGCTTTCTAGCTCTAAGCAGAGTGTTGAGTAGCCAGGACAGAGACTGTATGGCCCACAACACCTGAAATATTTACTGTCTGGCTCTTTACAGAATAAGCTTCCTGATGTAGAACATAAGGCCTGATCTAGATTAAGGAACCTGAGTCATTTTGCCAGCAAGGAGGGGAAGTGTTGGGAGGGTATAAAGAAACTTCTTGATGCCTCTTGAATCTTTCATGCTGACTCTGGCGGCCAGTCTCAAAGGAGAATAACACACGGCAGGAAAAAATCCCAGGGAAATAGTCAAACGTGGTTCAGGATTCAAACCTTCCCCAGTACTTGAGGAAAGGGGCCGAAAGGAAGGTTGTCTCTCTAGATATCACACACACACACACACACACGCACGCACACAGCTACAAGGACGTGACCAGACTTTTTTTTTTTAAGTACTTACACAAAAATAGTAAATGTTGCAATAGGTCTGGGATGCTGTTCTGGTGAGAAGAAACAACTTCCTTTGGGGCACCATTTTCTGTGGGTGTGGCATCTGGAAGAGATTATGTCAGGGTCACGAGCATTTGTTGATCACGGGATGCTTGGGTGGCCCCAGCACTGACTGGAGCTGAGTTTAATGCCTCAAATAGATTACCTGACCCACTGTCCAGAGCAATGTATGGTTTCCTCTGTACCTGTAACTGTATGAGAAAATGGCCCGCCCCACAGATCTAGCTGTTGCCCTTCTAGGTGGTACTGACCCACGGTAATTCACCATGACTTTCCGTGCAGATTGAGTGCAACTTACACCCCTCTGAGCTGCACAGCCATCTCCATAGAAGATACTATCACTGGTAACTCAGCTTCTTCCTTAAACAGATAACACGAGGCACACATGCCACTGAAAAATGTGTGTTTTTTTTTCCCTTTTTAAATTGAAATATAGCTGACATACAACATTATGTTAGTTTCAGGTGGTGGTGTTTTTCTTAGCAAGACACACCTTACTGGGTGAGGCCAGGGGCGCCCCGGCCCTGCTTGAGTAACAAAATACCTCAAGGCACTTTTTTTTGTTTGTTTTGGGTGGTTTTTGTTTGTTTGTTTGTTTGCTTTTAGCCTTTGCTCTGTGAGAGAAGCCCCCACCTCTGTGTATTTCTGGGTACTCGGGGCTGGAGACCATTCCCCAACCCCATCACCCCCACTTCCTGGAGAAGTAGTTCTGATTAACTTGCTCTGTCTTTCTTCCTTTCTCCCTGTCTCTCTTAGAAAAACATAAACTGTGTGCTTACCTCATGGCACGTCTCACCCTCTTGTGATGATGACACAGCCTGCATTGCCCCGACCGCAGCCCCTCCAGGATCTGGATGGGGCTGCTTTAATGCTTCAGCTGCCCTTTGGCGCTTCCTGTGCTTAGGAGCTGGTCAGCTGCTTAGATGTTCTGCCAGTGACACCAGAGAGAGGCTTGCTGGTGTGGACTGGAACCACCCCCCACCAGTCCTGAGCCAGGAACTCTGAAGGGAGAAAATGTTTCTAAACTAGGAACTCTCAGTGCATGGAGATGGAAGGGGTTACAAACCTTGCCTTCGAACCTGGAAGGGATTTCAAATCATTTCCTCCAACTTCCCCATTTTATGGATGGGGAAACTGAGGGCTTGAGGGGTGATGTGGTTTCCCCAAGACACCCAGCTGGCTCTTGGCAGCTCTGCAAATCAAGTCCCAGGTCCTCTTTGTCACATCAAATGGTAAAGCGCATTATTGCCGTTGTGCAGCTGCGTCCAGCACCAAGCGAAGGCAGGCACTTGGTCTGGCTTTTCTCAGAACGTGGTCCTTCTCATGAGAGACAGGTGGGCGCGGGGCAATGACCGACGTCTCTCCTCCCGTTTTCATCACAAAATGCCAAAGCCTGTAGGGTAGTGATTCCCAGAGCGTGGTGCTCATACCACAGGTGGGTTGTACATGAGATGATTTCAGGCGACCCACTTATTAAGTGTTAACCCTAACCCTAACCAGGTAACCTCTTAATATTTATTTCATGTATATTTATGTTAATGTGCACTAGGGAAGTATATAAGTGGACACCAAATCTATTCATGTTTATTATGCTTGTATATGACCACTTAGGAGGGGGTGGTGCTCATTAACTAAAAATATATTCAGTCAATAATAGCATGCGTGATTTGTTAATTGGGAAAAGACATACTAAGCAGATGACTGAAGTTCAGGAAATGCGGTGTGGAGGATACCAACGATTTGGGGGAAGAGACTTAAACCACTGACTTGCCAGTGATGAAGAAACACCCCCTCAGCCTCATTAATCACCAGACAAATGCAGAATGAAAGTAGAATGAGATAACAATTTTCCACCTTTCAGTTTGGTCAGGATTATATAGTTTGTTCTCACTTCAGCGGCACATATACTAGATGTAGAATGACACAGAGAGCCTTGGCAGGGTCCCTGGGCACAGATGACATGCAAAGTGATGACCAATCCCGTGAGGCTGTTATGTGAGTAATCGAATTAGTATTATTGAGAACAGGGGCTCTTTTCTGAGGAGGAAGAAGGAGAAAGTGAGATCTTTGAGAGTAAGTGAAAACTCTGTCATCCTGAATATTAATGGCAAAATTCACTATACACTCATGACATGGTTTAAATGTATATATTTCTTAGCTTTTTCCCCTGAAAAGACCTATAAACAATGACCAACCCAGTAGCAATAAACGCCACTAATACCTTGACTGAGGTCTCCAAATGCCATTTCCCACTAAAAAGAACCAGAGCTCTTTGGAGAACAACTGATTTTATGTCTAGGACAGGAAATATATAAGATAAGCCTGAAATATCTTGTCAAACAAGAAAGCAACAAAACTATCAAAGACTACTAGAGTGATGTCAAAAGGCCTCAGAAGTTACCTTCAAGAAGCTCCCGCTGGCCAAAGATGGGAGAATTTGAATGTCAAGAAGGTTAATAACTATACTAGAACAAAATGCATAAATACACTTAAATCCCTGAATTTATCATTATACTAAAAACAAGTCAAAACAAAAGAAAACCTCACTGGTTACTTTTCAAGGATACCAGTGAACCAACTCAATTTTAAAAATTGGAAATAACGGTAGAGTCAAGTAATCATCCTGTGTTTCATATATGAACTATACCTCTGGGTCAACAAATAGTTGATGAGGGGAAGTTTCCTTTTTGTTTCTTGGGTTTTTTTGCTCTTTTAAAAAATTTTTTTATTTATTTAATTTTGGCTGCATTGGATCTTTGTTGCTGCACACAGGCTTTCTCTAGTTGCAGAGAGCGGGGGCTACTCTTAGTTGCAGAGCACAGGCTCTAGGCGCACAGGCTTCAGTAGTTGTAGCACGCGGGCTTCAGTAGTTGTGGCTCACGGGCTCTAGAGCACAGGCTCAGTAGTTGTGGTGCATGGGCTTATTTGCTCCACGACATATGGGATCTTCCCAGACCAGGCCTCAAACCCCTGTCCCCTGCATTGGCAGGCAGATTCTTAACCACTGCGCCACCAGGGAAGCCCGAAGTTTCTCTTTATAGGCATTTTCCTGCTGCTACATGGGGAAGGAATGATGGCATAACACCTTTTGCACTCATCATGAAGAAAAGACATGATGACATGATTACCATCGAGGGAAGAACACAACTCCATCTGCAAAACAGTCCTACCCTCTCCCCCATATTAAATCTGATCAAGGCTCTAGATCTAACTACCAATTCACAGAAGGGACATGTTAAAGGATTCCATGAGGTTCCCATCAGCAAAATACAGACTGTGGGAAACTCTACAGGATAAACTATCTAATGTTTTTAACAAATAAGTTACAAGGACAGATGAAGGTAGGGGTTGAGGGGACATGGAAGGAGAACCTATAAGTTAAAAGAGACTTATAGACTGTAATCTATGGGATGTTTTGAATCCTGATTCAAGCAAACTACCAATAAAATTATGAGACAATAGGGAAATCGAAGACTGATATTTGATGATATTAAGGAACTATTTTTTTACTTTATTGAAGTATAGTTCATTTACAATGTTGTGTTAATTTCTGCTGTATAGCAACGTGATTCAGTTATACATGTATATACATTTTTTTGCATATTCTTTTCCATTCTGGTCTATCACAGGATATCGAATATATTCCCTGTGCTGTAGAGTAGAACCTTGTTGTTTATCCATCCTATATATAATAGTCTGAATCTGCCAGTCACAAACTCCCAGTCCATCCCTTCCCCACCCCCTCTCCCCCTTGGCAACTACAAGTCTGTGCTCTATGTCTGTGAGTCTGGTTCTGTTTCATAGGTAGGTTCATTTGTGTCATATTTTAGATTCCACATATAAGTGATATCATATGGTATTTGTCTTTCTCCTCCTGACTTACTTCACTTAGTATGATAATCTCTAGGTCCATCCATGTTGCTGCAGTTGGCATTATTTCATTCGTTTTTATGGCTAAGTAGTATTGCATTGTATGTATGTACCACGTCTTCTTTATCCATTCATCTGTCGATGGGCATTTAGGTTGTTAAGGGACTATTGTTAATTTATTGAGTTGTCATCAGGGGATTGTGGTTGTTTTGTTTTGTTTTGTTTTTTTTGCGGTACGCGGGCCTCTCACTGTTGTGGCCTCTCCCGTTGCGGAGCACAGGCTCCAGACACGCAGGCTCAGCAGCCAGCTGCTCCGCGGCACGTGTGATCTTCCCAGACCGGGGCACGAACCTGTGTCCCCTGCATCAGCAGGCAGACTCTCAACCACTGCGCCACCAAGGAAGCCCAGGTACAGGATTTTTAAGGGTAATTTAACAGTGTCTATCCATATGTCAAGGGTACCTATACTCTGACCCAGAAATTCCACTTCTGGGAATCTAACCTAAAGGAATACTCAACAAGGATGTTTCCTGCAACTTTGTTAGTGTTTGCAAGAAAACTGCAAATACTGACAACATCTATCAATAGTGGATATTTCAATAAACCACTGTTAGCAATAGCAGGAGTAGGCAAACGCCTGCACTGTCTGTCAGTAGCAGATGTTTAAATAAATTATGGTACATCTATACAGTGGACTGCCATGAATCTATTAAAAATAATGAGGAAGATCCACACCTGCGGTAAAATAAAAAATAAACCGTTAATCTCTGTCCCTAGTTCCTGGCTCAGAGCTCCTAAACCCTTGGAGTTTACTGTCTATTGTAAGTTAATGAGGTGACTCATGATAGGGGGCTAGATATCTTCAGGATGGGGACTGGTGGCCAGACAAACCAACCACAAGATTAGAACTGCTTAGAACTGCCTCCCCCTCTAGGGAGGAGAGGGGACCTGGAAGTTGAGTTCAATCACCAGTGGCCAGTCATCTAAACAATCATGCCTACATAATGAAACTTCCATAAAAACCCCTAAACAGCACAATTCAGAGAGCTTCTGAGTTGGTGAACACATCCGTGTCCTGGGAGGGTGGTGAAACCCAAGCCCTGCTACACTGAGGACCTTCCAGACCTCTCCCTGTGTACCTCTTCACCTGGCTGTTCATTTGTAGCCTTTATAATAAGCTGTAGTAGTACATATAATGTTTTCTTGAGTTCTGTGGGTTGTTTTAGCAAATTATCAAACCTCAGGGTAGGGTATGGGAATCCTCAAATTTGTAGTTCACTGGGCAGAAGTGTGGGTAGCCTGGGCCCCCATTTGTGGCTGGCATCTGAAGTAGGGGCAGTCTTGTGGGACTGAGCCCTTAACCTGTGGGATCTGACTTACTTCAGGAAGTTGGTGTCAGAATTGAATTAAATTATTAGTGTCAGAGAATTGTAGGATTGATTGGTGTCAGAAGGAAAAAAATCACACAACATGTATTGTCATAGAAGGATCTCCAAGACCTATTTGAGGTTAATTTTTTTTAATAGCAATTTTTGGTTCATTGGGAAGAGTGCAAATTCTCTTATTGTAAAACAAAACATTTACAAAGCCACAGTAATACAAACTGTGGTGCTGGCATAAAGACAGACACATAGTCCAATGGAACAGAATAGAGGGCCCAGAAATAAACCTTCATATTATGGTAAAATGATCTTTCACAAGAGTTCTAAGACCACACCATGGGGGAAAGAACAGTCTTTTCAACAAATGGTGCTGGGAAAACTGGATATACATATGCAAAAAAAATGAAGTTGGACTCTTACCTTATACCATATGCAAAAAACTAACTCAAAAAAAAAAAAACCCACAAAAAAACAAAAAAAAACCAGACCTAAATGTAAGACATAAAACTACAAAACTCCTAGAAGTAAACATAAAGGGAAATCTTCATGACACTGGACTTGGCACTGATTTCTTGGGTATGACACCAAAAGCAACAAAAGCAAAAACAGACAGATGGGACTACATC